ACCCTCCCAAACAAGGACCTTCAAACAAATCTATATAGATAGATTAATCTACATAGACAACTTAANCAAATGTGTCCAGGAAGGGGAAAGAAGTAGGGGAACCTAACATGTAAGACTTTGGTTAGCAGCTTAATGAGCTTAATGAGACTCGCAGCTTATTCAATCAGCTATACATGTCTAACTGGTAGTGGCTTAATGATATATAAAGTGGCTTATTCAGTAAGCTTCTAGAAGGGGGCTTTATGCAAAAATCCAAGTTTTTTCCGAACCTGTCCCTCCCAAGTAAGAAACACGTTCATTCCATCTGTGAAAAAACCCTCCCAAACAAGGACCTTCAAACAAATCTATATAGATAGATTAATCTACATAGACAACTTAATCCATATAGAACTTCATGGAAAACCAACCAAACATCCCCTTCATGTCATTGATGTTGCCAAGAAGGCTAACAAAATGGGTAAAAATTAAATAAAAATAACTATAATAGGTCATTTTCTTTAGTCAAGTTGGTGCGGACATGGAATTATGTAACAGAGAGTCGTAAGACAATTAGGCCATGTTAGTTCAACGTGTACCTGATTTGCATAGGCATACAATTGGTAACTAATTACGTATTATGTTTTATTCATCATCAAAATTCACATCCTATTGTTTAAATCTAGCTCAATACAGGAAAATAAGGTCTTCATGAATTTATGAAAATGACAAACAATAACTAAAAGCACTATCAAAGATGTCTAAAACGCCTAGATGGCAAACGGAGATGGCATGGGGATTGCAAGTTCAATTTAAGCATGAGGATGTTATCTAATAGCTAGAGGACAAGAGTGATTTGATTGAAGTAATGACAAGCTTCTCAAGCCTTGTTGGTCAAGGTGTAGCATTGAAGCTGAATAGTAGTATGTTTTAGAGGAGGTCATGTCACTATACCTGTTACAATTTACTGAGTATAATGTTTAGTCACCAAAAGACATCACACACAGTTTATGTTGCAAAAACGGAAACATGAAGATGGATCTGTTGCCATACACCGAGGGACAAACCAGAAACGAGAATATATGAGCAAAGGTTGGCATAGCACCCATTTTCCGAGGGGTTCAGATAAAAACGTTTGAGATGTTGGCCATATTTGATGACCTTCAAATGAACCAGTTAAAAGATGAGACTTTTACCAAGAAGAGTTCTCTATGAGAGGCAGAGATAGACCAAGCCTAACAAGAGTGGTATATGCCAAAGAAATTAGCTTTAGGCCTGTTTGTTAGCAGCTTAATAAGCTTAATGGACTCGCAGCTTATTCAGTCAACTATACATGACTGTTTGATAGTGGCTTAATGATATAGAAAGCGACTTATTCAGTAAGCTTTCAGGGTAGACTTTATGCAGAAAGCCAAAAAAATTCGAAACCTGTCCCTCCCAATTAAAAAACACGTTCAAATCTATAAAAAGCTCTCCCAAACAAAAATCTTCCCAATCTATACAGACAGATTAATCCACGCACACAGCTATATCCATACAGGACTTAATGGAAAACCAACCAAACAGCCCTTAGATAGCATAGCAAGGCATGAAAGAACATCATTCATGTCCCAAAGACTAAAGAGGAGGGGGTTCATCTCACTTTTGATAGCACCATTGTGATGGTTTCATATAACTTACCTTTAACTAGTTTGGGATAAAAGACTAGTGGTTATAGTTTACAATGTGTGAACTTATTAACTTGGGGAATTTTGATACAAGCAGTTTAAGAAACTAATATGTTGAAAAGAGCTATAAAATTTCATAACCATCAAACTTTCTGACTTTTATCTTTGTCCTTTCAGAATGAGAAACCAAAGCTCAGCAAGACGCAAACCGATGAATGCATTGTCACTGGTAAAAGCATCTCAGTTTAATACGGGTACACTTGGTTCTGTTGGTTGCATTATTTGTGACAAATTGTGTTACTAAGAAAAAAGAATATTCGAATAAAGTGACACTTTACTGCATGCTATACATGAAGACTAATTTCATTGGTAGGTCCAAGAAAGGCATGGGCATTTTGGGCGTATTCTTTTCCTTTTCTTACAATATTTTTGAGTCACTAAGTAGCTATTTTGAGAGCTGGACTCCACCGAGAGGTTTTTCTCTCATATCATTTCGCCTGCACGTACCTATGATTGACGATTAGGGTTGGTGGCATGGCAATTAGCATTAGTTTGGTTGTGTCTTATTTTAATAGATGCAAATGTCCCAATCACGTTACATGAATTGGATTGAAAATTTAGTGCAAGTCAAGGTTGATCCTTGCCAAAAAGAGCATATTCTTTATCTCATTATCTTCTACCAGCTACTCTAAGAACCCATTCTACAAGGCTTTGTAGTTGCTATACAAAGTGGCAGAACGACAGGCCAACGTGCAGCATTCAGTAATGCAAATTCGGAGAAATTCACATGTACAGCATATACATATTTAAAGCAGAACTGAATCGAAGGATTTCTTCATGCAGAAAAAGACTCACTCTTGGTAAGAGCGCAGTTTTAAGTCTTACATGCATTACAAGGAAAGAGGAAAGGGGAAAATTAAATATCAAATAAAGTACCAAATTGTATTATTAAAAATTCACAAAGCAAAATGCGCTTATGAAGKGTTATAGTCAAAATTTGGCAACAAACCAGATGCATATTGCAATTACTGGTAGTGCACATTAGGATGAACAGTTTTATAATTGAAATAATGCACTCATAAGCTCACGAGTTGCTTAGTTAGTACACGTCTAAGCCATGTATGTGTAGTGAGCATTTGCATCCTCTTATAACAAAATGAGCTTAACTTACTACTGACAAACAAATTTYCTCATCTAGGTGGAGGTGGAGGTACATGAGACTTGGCCATCCCTATCCA